TTGCTGTGAGCTAGGCTGATGCCACAGCACTCTAGCCTGGGCAACAGAGTGAGACTCTGACTCAAAAAGAAAAGAAAAGAAAAGAAAAATGCCAATTCTTCTCAGATCCCCCCAATCTTTAGCAACTCCAACCTTTGTAAGCAGTTGCATTATTTTCCTTCCTGTGTTTATGTTGTATTTGTTTATTATTTCTGTGTTTCTTTTTAAGTTAGATATGTGTATTTTTCATATTTTCCCTTCTTTCTTACTTAAAAGGTAGCATTCTCTGTATGTTCTTTTGAACTTTCAAGCAAACTTTTGATAATGTTATAGTTCTTCTTTTAGGGAGAGAATGTACTAATCTGCAATGAACATTTAGGTCATTGTAACCAAGAAGCTGACATTCTGCTTTATAAATTGGTTTCTCATGAGTTTTATTGGTTTGTGTCTAAACTTGAGAAAGTTTCTAGTCTGGGTGACTGACAAAAATCTAACGCTAGCCCTGCAGGGTAGGGGATCATTTTCCCAGAATGTGATAACCACACTAAGGTACTATTATCTTGTGTGGTCCTGTCCAGGCTGCCTGCCATTATCTCTAGTTTTTCTATTTTATTTCTGCCTATGACCTGCCATCCCTGACTTATTCTGTGGTTGACAATACTCTTTTCTATGTGACTCTCATGATAAATATATTGTTATGTTAACTGAAGAATTTTATTAAATAAAATTACATTAAATAAGAGTCAATATTATACAAGATAATAAATAATCTAATATTTAATGAGTATCTATTTAATAAGGAGTTATTAAATAAATAATATTCTATTAAATAAAAGAACAGGGGACCAGGTTTCTTTTTCTGTAGTAACACTTTCCATTGCTTAGCCCAAAATTCAAATATAATAACCAATGAGACAGTTATTCATTGATTCATCCAGAGATGCTCAATTACTGGTATTTTACTTAAGTTTAATATATTTTGAAAGTGTAAGAAATAGGAGAACTTGGTATAAAGTAGGAATAAAGCACTTCAGCTTTCGAATTGAGTAGTTTGGAGTTCAAACTTTGGCTTCTCTACTTACCTCTGTGAGACTAGCCTCTTTAAGCTTCAATTTCACATTGGTGAAATGAGAATAATCAAAATTCCTATCACACTGGCTTGCTATAAAAAGTTAGAGATGACTTTTGTAATATGTTTATTATATTACCATATAATAGGATGTAGGAGACCCTTAAGTAATGTTAGCTAATGTCATTGGTATTGACAGCAGTGACAGTTCCAGTGCAAAAGCTCAACGATGATAAATATTATTGTTATTCAAACTTTAAGTTTTTTCAACTGATTTTTAAAATGTTATAAAAGTAGTACATAACTATTGGAGTAGAAAGCCAAAACATATGGAAGTATATGAACTGAAAGTCAAACTGTCTGCCCTCTTCCCCTTCATGAATAGTAATTATTAACAATTTGTTCTACTGTCTTTAAAAAAAACCCCAAAGTAGAAAGGCCCTAAAACAACCTACAATGAGATGTTACAAATGGCAAATGGCATCTATATCCCTTTTACTTCAATCACCTTAAAATACTACATAAAGTGATCAATGTTCATGTTGATGACAGGTTCAGATTGAGGAAGTAAATTTAAGACAGCATGCTCTGAAGGAATGCTTTCCTTCATGTAGTCTAAAAATATCTTGGAACTTTTGGCAACTCCCAGGTATGCCTACATTTTTAGATTAGTAACTGCTGCCTCTTTTTCATGACTGTTCTACCTCTCCACTGCACCCCATGAATCTCTAATTATCAATGATTAGGGGTTCATATATGGGACAATAAGGTACTCACAAAGAACTTGAAGATTCAAGGATTATGGTTGCCTTCTGAGCATAAAGGTAAATTCTATCTAGATGCCATCTAAGAGAGTAAAAGAACACTGTCTACAAATATCTGATAGTGAGAATAGAGTTACATTCCAAATTCTAACTAAGGTGACCTGTGTAACTCTGGGAGGCAGAAGAGGGAAAGGCAAGGCTGAAATTTCATAGTAATTTAATCAACCCAAATCTATCTAATCTATTGTTTTATATGCATTTTATAGTAATTGGTTACCCCAAAACATAGAAAATGAAGGCCAAAAGAACCAGAAGTTGGCAGACTTGTCAAAGTCTGTCCAAGGGAGGGGACCCTTTGACTTGTGTACACGTATTACTGCTTCTCAGACTTTGTACTCACCAAAGCAACCTTATAATTATAATCTGGCTTCTCAAGTGGCCTGACTACAAAAATAGGACATGCCTGAACAGTGATGATTGTATTCCAGTTTGCCTGGTAGCTCTAGATGCAATCACATTAATAAAGCAGCATTCTGGCTTATATATCAATCCCTTATGACAATGAGCAATGTTCAGCTAGTTTTCTTAGGCTCACAGAGATATGTTTCTACTTTAGACAGACTAAACATAAGACCTGAATTACAGTGACAAAAAAGAGGCAAGGCCACCCTTGTGGCCAGAATAATTTGAATAATTGTTATAGCTTTGGAAGAGTCATGTAACCTCTTTATGCCTCAGTTTTCTTGTCATAAAAAATGAAGTTTTTAATATTTAACCTAGAGAAGGATATATCATTAATTTACTGAAGCTTAACTTGAGGGCACCTCACTTGCAATAGTACTTTCCAAGGCCTTGGGAAGAGCCCTAGCAATAAGTTCTCATGGTCCTATGGTTTTGTAAATTTTGCAAAGGTAAAATATTTTTGTACTCTTTTTCTTAAAAGGGGCTCCCCAAATTATATAAGCTTCACTACCCTACCCCCAAAACCTGGATCTACCCTTGATTTCATTTTTAGGGCATAGTGAGATTAAATGAAGTAATTACTATCAAATTCTTAGCTGGACACATAGCCAACATGTATTGAGTACTTATTATTATTAGGTAGAGTTCTTCAGAATCATGCTAATTCTCTTTTTGTCATAAATGAGAAACATTGTTCAAGTTGTATTGAGGTTTTTTTTTCCATTCTGAGTCAGTAGTTGAGAATTAAAGTTAGCTAGATATGTTGACATTTTCAAGTTAATTTTTTTACCAAATAATCAACAAGTGTTAGGAATGATTATGTTTTATTTATTTAACAAATGCTTATTTTTCACTTACTATGTATCAGGCACTGCTGTTAGCACTTTATTTTTTTATTTTATTTATTTTTTTTTTTTTGAGACAGAGTCTCACTTTGTTGCCCAGGCTAGAGTGAGTGCCGTGGCGTCAGCCTGGCTCACAGCAACCTCAATCTCCTGGGCTCAGCGATCCTACTGCCTCAGCCTCCCCAGTAGCTGGGACTACAGGCACGAGCCACCATGCCCGGCTAATTTTTTGTATATATTTTTAGTTGGTCAATTAATTTATTTCTATTTTTGGTAGAGACGGGGTCTCGCTCAGGCTGGTTTCGAACTCCTGACCTTGAGCAATCCGCCCGCCTCGGCCTCCCAGAGAGCTAGGATTACAGGCGTGAGCCACCGCGCCCGGCCAGCACTTTAGAATTAACTCATTTATTACAAATAATTGGAATAAGCTCTGCTTGAATGTAATAATACAGAGTTATGCTTTGCTAAAAAAATGTTCTTTCTCAGGTATCCTGGCCTTGGTATTTATTATTGTTGACCTATAGCAAGAAAGCTCAAGTCCTTCTTGAAATTCCATCTTCCTTTAGCCTCCATGCTACTTCTCTTACTTTTCTGATCTCTATGTTTGTTTCTTTCCTGCTACCATTTCCTTTCCTATCTTCTAGCCCTTGGGCCTCTACGCTTACCTATTGTGATTTAGAATTAAAAAATATATATTTGAAACCTAGCACTGCCACTGTTATCGGTGTGAATTTTGGCCGTTATCGAACCTGGGAACCTCATTTTCTTCATCTCTTATAAAATGGGTCCAATAGTAATACTTTATGAGCTGATTGGGCTTCTGGACTTGCCCATTCTAAATAATCCTCATCCTGTAATGATTATATCCCATAGGAAGTATTTTGGGGGAATCCTCAAATTTTTGTGTTTATAACACTGGTAGGACATAAAAGTTCTAATGTCAAATCAGATCATGTCATGCTCCTGTTTTGAGGCAGGGAGATATTACCTAGTTTGGAATGAAACTCTTACTGTAGTCTATAAACCCCAATATGACTCAGCCCTTGTCTATTTCTTCAACTTTATCTCTACTATTTAAACGAGCCTTATTCTTCTCACTCTCAAATAAGGCAGGCCTGTACATGTCAGGGCTTTTGCATTTGTTATTCTGCCAGGCTGGAATATCCTCTCAGATCTTCTCATTACTAGCTTCTTCAGGTCCCAGCTTAAAATGATTTCCTTAAAGAATGACCCACATCTTCCAACAAGACAACATATACACTATTGTCTTTTTTCTCATGAACTTCATCATTATCTCAAAAGTTTTATATATTTTATTATCTATCTGCCCTAAAGAATAAAAATTCCATGAGAATTGAAATCTTGTCCTTGTTCACAGCTACATCCCCAGTCTCTAGAACAGTGGCACAGAGTAGTAACTGCTTATTAAATATTTGCTAAAAGAAAGAATAAATACCCTGTCCTCAACTTGGTTCTGAAAAATTAATCTAGAACACTAAGTCTGGACTGCCTTGCTTGAGATTATTAATAGCAATTTCCAAGAGTTATTCTTTCCAACTGTTCCTTTATGTTACACCTAGGAGAAATGGTTCAATGTTTCTGTTAGGAGACTAATCAAATGAAAGGAGCAGAATAGGTCCTTTCTCAAAAGTCTATCCTATTAATCTACTTTATATCAATTACAAAGTTAAATTTGTATGACACACTAAAACTGCTTGTTACTTGGGAAATTTTAACAGGAATGCTGAGCAATACATAATTTTATCATGTCTAAAATATATAATGTTATGATTTGTAGTCTCATATATTCTGAATTTAGAAAACAAATTTAAATTATATAAGCAAGCACTGATTATATAAACATTCAAAATGAAAACATACCTCCTAAAGCTCCACTATGATCTAGACTTTTCTTTTTAAAGCCATTAGAGACGATCAAAACAGGAACAACAACAGAAAACAGCCAACGCCAAGGAGAAACAGGCCGTAAATTACCTGAAAAATTATAACAGTGGAACACAAATTGTGAAGTCTGCACAGGTTAATCTTGGCAGTAAGCTTTGATAACTGCTATCTGGATTAAAATACTATCAAAAGTAGAGAGACTGAGATGAATTCACCAAAGAAAAATATAGTCATGTGTCACTTAATGATAGGTATATGTTCTGGGAAATGTGTCCTTAGGCAACTTTATCATTTGCAAACATAGACAGTACTCACACAAACCTAAACTGCATAGTCTACTATACACCTAGGCTATATGAAGAACATGCAGCCTCAAAGCCACATGTGGCTCTCCAGATCCCCAAGTGTGGTCCCTAGACCAAATATAAACTTCAGGAACAAATCCTTTTACTAAAAAGGATTAGTTAATTACAACACAATGGTTAATATTTTGTATCTAAACATAGAAAATGTACAGTAAAAATGCAGTATTATAACTTTATGGACCATTGTCTATGTAGTCTGTCATTGAAACATCATTATGAGGCACATGACTGTATTTATGTTGAAATTTGTATATTTTCAGAGGGGCAATCTTACCAGGAAATGGTCAAATAAGTTATGTCCAAGTTTTGAGAATATTTACAGCTATTAAAATATTTATAATGGGTATTTCAAACATGGGCATTTGGAAATTGAATCTCTAATTCCTCATTTCTCTGAAAGGCATGTATTAAATTTCAAGACCTACACAGAAAAAATTCTTTATTTAACAGGATCTTATTCCTCCCTCTGCCTTTCAGAGCACACCTGATTCAATGGTTAGAAATTGACTTTTCCAAAGGTTGCATCCAGCTCCCAGATGTTTTGTTTGGCTAGCAGTGTTTTCAAACAATTTGAGTCAATAATTAAAGATTAGGAGATTTCATATTAAAAAACTAGATTCTTGGCTTCTGTTTTTTTTTTTTTTTTTTGAGACAGAGTCTTGCTTTGTTGTCCAGGCTAGAGTGAGTGCCGTGGCGTCAGTCTAGCTCATAGCAACCTCAAACTCCTGGGCTCAAGCGATCCTACTGCCTCAGCCTCCCGAGTAGCTGGGACTACAGGCATGTGCCACCATGCCCGGCTAATTTTATATATATATCAGTTGGCCAATTAATTTCTTTCTATTTATAGTAGAGACGGGGTCTTGCTCAGGCTGGTTTTGAACTCCTGACCTCGAGCAATCCGCCCACCTCGGCCTCCCAGAGAGCTAGGATTACAGGCGTGAGCCACCGCGCCCGGCCTTGGCTTCTGTTTTAAAAACCTTAAGTTCTGGCCTACATGGTAGAATTAATTGAAGGTGAAGAAAGGCCTCCTTTTTTAGACGACCCATGGTTTCCCTGTTTTAATTCCCCACCACTTCTGACAGATTCATAAACACCAAGACTGAATGATTTCCTTATAGTAAAGAAAAATGTGAACTATTTCTTGTGTCCATGTTTCTATCAAAAATGGGAAAATGAAAGCCAAAGAGGGGCAAGCATACATCAAAAAATGGGAAAAATCCTATTTGTGAAAGTAAAAACTATTGACACGTTTAATATGCAAAAACTTGGCCAGTTCCATTCATTTGCAGATGACTGGCCCCAGGTGAACACTTTAATTTACAAATCCTGGCTTATTCTATTTAGTTTAGGTCATAATTAATCCTGTCACCAAGAATCTTCTCTCACTTCCCTCCCCCCAAACTCCTATTCCCTATTGTGAATCATTATGAATGAATAGCCTACTGTACCCTGGAGAACACCTATCCAATTTATTCACAGACTCTTCACAAAAGGATTAAGATCTGAAATGGCGATCATTTATGATATAACCATTTACAAGAATTCATTTTCTCACTCTCCTTTTCACTTTTTCCTTTGTTCTGAACTGACCAGTATTTTGTCTTTACAGGAGTACCAAGGAAGTTTGTGTGTAGACATGCTCATGCTCTAAGGCCCTTCAAAGCCTTAAAGACCTGAGTCCAGAGTAGCTTATGGCAAAGTAGCTTCAGGCTTTAAAACGAGTCTATTCTTCTGAAGTGACCAAATGTCAAACAAATCCTTCAAATCTCAAATATAAACATTATACTGTCTTTCTTATTTTTACAGGACACTTGAAACTGATAAACTACATTACTAATATTCTTATTCAAAATTAAAAACATCACTGAGATTGCTTTAAAACTATGTTTCACCTCACTTACTTTTTAACCAAGATAGACAGCATGATTACATAAAAATATTAAAGACATTTTGAAATAGGCATAGCTAGTATTCTCACACAAGAATCTATTAAAGGGTTTAAAACGTTCAAAGCACTGTTTATGTTTGTAAGTTAAATTCAGATTGTGGATGTTAAGTAAACACAACCATTCATAACCACAAGTTCACAATGGTACAATTTCAAATTCTGGGGATTAGATTATAAAAAAACAATTTAGAACAGCAAAGTAGTTTGAGGTCAGGAATTCAAGAACAGCCTGAGTAAGAGTGAGACCCCGTCTCTACAAAAATAGAAAAAAATTAGCCAGGTGTGGTGGCTCCTTTCTGTTGTCCTAGCTACTTGGGAGTCTGAGGTTGCAGTGAGCTATGATGACGTCACTGCACTCTACCCAGGGCAACAGAGTGAAACTGTCTCCCCCCCACACACACAGAAAAATCATACTTACCATAGTAAGTGCTTGCAGTCATTGACATAATCCAGAAAGCTAAAGAAATGGAAATGATCAGGCTCAATATAATTATATTAGTTATCATCTTTACATATCTTTTGCATATATTGTCGTCAAGATCTGTCATGGAAGGTAAGGATTATGAGCACCTGAGGGAGAAAATATATAGCGTTTCTGAGAGATATAAAGTCATTCAAGCTGCCAGCAAAAAACTCGTTTAGAGGCAAACATAAATGCCAACATCTTCCACCGATCAAACAAAAAGAAAAAATATGAACTCAAAGTCTTTCCAGAAACTGCTGCTAGTGGAGAGCTCCAACTCGTATGAACTAGGTCTACGCCTACTGGAAAAGCAAACAGCGTCCCCTCAGAGCCGGCTCCGGGCTGGCAGTCACTTCACACCTGAACTCCACCGCCAGGAAGGTGAAAGGCAAGGCCGAGGCAGCCAATCCGCGGCCCCGGGCGGCGAGCTCCGCCCACACCGCCCGTCGCAGCGCTACCACACGCCGCCGACGGGGAGTGTCCGCTGGCGCAGAGGCGCAGCGTGGGGCGTCCGAACCTGGGCGAGTCTGGGCGGTGAGCCCGGCGCGCCTAAGCGCGGTCACGTCCCGACAGGCGCCTGCGCTACCCCAAGGTCCAGGTCTAGCCGGACAGAGGCGAGACCCTTGGGGCTCAGCCCGCACCTCACCGAGCCTCCGCCTCTTGCGACTCGCCTCCTGCGCGCATGCGCCGCAGGCGCGTGAGGACTCCGCCTAGCTCACGTGAGCAGGGACTGCTGGAACTTGGGCCGGCTGTGTTTACCTTGCTGCTGAGGATGTGGACATCTGGGACCTTAGGTCCTTGCGTTTGCGGACGTCCTTCACCCTGAGAAGTGAAACCACCACCAGGATAGTAATAGAATAACGAAATGAAAGTGAATTTAGACCCTGTAAATACATTTCAAGCATAATATCCGAATCCTTCATCTATGAAGAGTTTGTGCCAATTATTAATACTATTATGGATTTGGGGGGGAGGGGAACATAGTGTGTTGTAGAAACAGAATTTTGTGACCTAGAAAATTATTTAAGGCCGGGCGCGGTAGCTCGTGCCTGTAATCCTAACACTGGGTAGTCAAGCCTTAGGCCTGTGTGAGCAAAAGCGAGACCCTGTTTCTACACACACACACATGCACACGAAAGTAGGAAAGAAAAGTTAGCTAGGCGTGGTGGCGCATGCCTGTAGTCTCAACTACTGGGAAGGCTGAGCAGGAGGATCGCTTGAGCCCAGGAGTTTGAGGTTGCAGTGAGCTATGATGATGCCACTGCACTCTAGCCCTGGCGACAGAACAAGACCTTGTCTCAAAAAAAGAAAGAAAAAAGAAAATCATTTAAAACAATATTGTCTAGTACTTATAAAGTGCCAGACTCTGCTGACTGCTAGCGATGTAAAGATACAAGTAAACACAGTTCTTGCTACTGAGCTTTCACATAATTGTCTTAATACCACTTACATTGTGAGAATATCTGCTCCTATTCCACTCATAATTAAAGTGTGTGCAGTCAATTTATTTAGAAAGCAGAATGTCTTGTTAGTATTAAAAATCCGAGTCTTGTCACTGATTTCATGTTTTATTTGAAATTAACCTTTGGTGGCCAAGAATAAAAGTAACTAGGCCGGGCGCTGTGGCTCACGCCTGTAATCCTAGCTCTTGGGAGGCCGAGGCGGGTGGATTGCTCAAGGTCAGGAGTTCAAAACCAGCCTGAGCAAGAGCGAGACCCCGTCTCTACTATAAATAGAAAGAAATCAATTGGCCAACTGATATATATATAAAAAATTAGCCAGGCATGGTGGCACATGCCTGTAGTCCCAGCTACCAGGGAGGCTGAGGCAGAAGGATCGCTCGAGCCCAGGAGTTTGAGGTTGCTGTGAGCTAGGCTGACGCCACGGCACTCACTCTAGCCTGGGCAACAAAGCGAGACTCTGTCTCAAAAAAAAAAAAAAAAAAGAATAAAAGTAACTAAATGATAATTAAAGTATTTAATATATTTGTGAATTTTTTGTCGATTGTGTAAGAAGAGGAGATAAATCCATTTCAGACATAGTACACAGTTGTGTTTTAACCTCCTAAGAGTAGTTACTTTTTAAAAACTCACATTATTTTAAATTTCAAAATCCATGCCAAAGATAACTTCCCTCTTCTTTGGTAAGGCATCTAATTAACTAAGAACCAAATCTGTGAAGTAGGACTATGACAGGAGAGGCTTTCTCTTACATACTTATGTGGTCTTTAAGTATGATCTTTAAGTATGGTCTTTAAGTATGATCACATACTTATATGGTCTTTATGCAGAAATTATGTGCCCATTTTTTTTTGTCTCAGTCTGTTTTGCTTGGGTAAATGATTGGATTATCTCACCAAGCTGATTGGCGAATATCAGTGTTACCAGCTATTGAGTAAGGTTATTGTTACTGATAAGAGTTAATGTTTTTGTGGTTTGCATAGTGACCTTGTTTTTATCTGCTCTTAGACAAAATTATGCACTGGTCTTCCTCCCTTCTCCCTTACTTCATCACAGTCACAAGGTGACTTTGATCAGTTGGTGTTCTATGAGAAAACCAGCTTTACTTTTGAGTGTTAAGCTGTCTCCTAACAACACTCTGTAGCTGTGTCGCGTCAGTTCCTGGATATCAAGGATGATTTTCTTTCTTTCTTTTTTTTTAAATTATTTTTTACTATTAATTTTTTTCTTACTTTTTGACGTTCTACTATTGGATGGTTTTCTTTTTTATGACTATTAGATCTGGCTGAAATTGCATACTAAGTAAGAGTGCCAGTGAACTGACCCTTCAGATGAATATTTATCTTCCATTTCTTCCAATGTCCAATTATTGATGTTTTCTATAAAATAAGTTATTTTAGCTTAAGACTGAAATAATTTGGAGGAATTAATGTATAATTAATATATTTAACATAAAGTGTCCCTCCTTATCTGCAGTTTCAGTTACCCACTGTCAGCAGTGGTCAGAAAATATTAAATGGAAAATTCCAGAAATAATTCATAAGTTTTAAATTAATACATGCCATCTCAGTAGCATGATGAAATCTCATGCTATCCAGCTCCATTCCACTTGGGATGTAACTTTTTCTTTTTCCTTGTTTGTCTTTTTATTTCAAAATATTAAGGGGGCACAAATGTTTTCGTTACATGGATAGCATTTATAATGCTTAAGTCAGGGGTATAAGTGTACCCCTTACCCGAATAGTATTCATTGTACCTGTTAGGTAGGCTTTTATCCATCCCCCCACCTCCCCACTCCCCCTTCTTGATTTCCAATTGACTTTTATTTCTCTCTGTGCCCATCAATTAGTTCCATATTATTAAAGGACATGAATCTTTCCTTTGTCCAGTGTATCCATGCTGTTGACAGTACTCACCCATTGGTCACTTACGAGCCATCTCAGTTATCAGATCAACTGTTGTGGTATCACAATGCTTATGTTCAAGTAACCCTTATTTTACTTTTATTACAGTATATTGTTAATATTAGTTCTATTATTGTTGTTAATCTCTTGCTTAATTTGTAAATTAAGCTTTGTCACAGGTATGTAGGTATGGGAAAAAACAGTACATATAGAGTTAAGTAATATCTGAGGTTTCGCGCATCCATTGGGAATCTTGGAAAGTATCCTTTTTTTTGAAAAATCATGATTTTACTATCATAGTTTTTATAGACTATGCCAATGTTAAAAATTTCAGCAAAGTCTTTGTCTTTTTTATTTACTTTATTATTTATTTATTTATTTTGAGACAGAGTCTCACTCTGTTGCCCTGGCTAGAGTGCCATGGTGTCAGCCTACCTCACAGCAACTTCTAACTCCTGGGCTCAAGGAATCTTTCTGCCTCAGCCTCCTGAGTAGCTGGGACTACAGGCATGCGCCACCATGCCCAGCTAATTTTTTATATTTTTGGTAGAGACTGGGTCTCACTCAGGCTGATCAGCTCAGGCTGATCTTGAACTCCTGAGCTCAAACGATCAGCCTGCCTTTGCCTCCCAGAGTGCTAGGATTACAGGCATGAGCTACTGCGCCCAGCCTTCTACTTACTTTAAAAGCCAATTTTCTATTAATAACAATATAGAATTTCTCGTTAAGCATTTCCTAGACTGTATTCTTCAAGTTATTAGTAGGTATGCTATCCTGCACACTTCAAAAGTATCTCTGATCAAATTTAAGGCTGAGAAATTTTATATACACATTGGATAGTGAGAGTGTATTAGTGAAGTCTCTGAGAAGAAACTTAAACATATTTGTTTAAATCTTTCCAACAGTTAATTCTGTCCATACCACAGATTCCTTTCTAGTAGAAAACATGAGTTTGAGACTTATTATGACAATCATAAAACAGACTGAAAGTTCATTGTTGCATTAATCTTTAAATTTAGCAATATACATACTTATTTGTGTTTAGTGCTCTGCTCTTTGATATAAGTTTGGATATCTCTAGGATAGACATTTAGTACTTTGCACCAATTGGAAAAATTATCCCAATAGCAAAAAGCACTTATTATTTGCTAAGAAAATATCAGTGGATTTTATGTACAATCCTTTGAATCTAAGCCAAGGGAGTGATTTAGATTTTCTGAAATCTGCTGATATTTCAGACTCCCCAGTACACACATGTCAAACCCCTGAGATCTGAAAAGAAAAAAAACCCCAACACTACACACCAGTCTCTGCCTTGAAGGAAAATGTAAGGTGAAAACAAACATGTAGACCTGTTTGTCTCCAACCTTTTTGGCACCAGGGACCAGTTCCATGGAAGACGATTTTTCAGAATGATTCAAGTACATTACATTTATTGTGCAATCAAACCTCTCTGCTAACCATAATCTGTATTTGCAGCTGCTCTCCAGCAATAGCATCACCACCTCAGGTAATCAATCAGGCATTAGATTCTCATAGGGAGCATGTAACCTAGATCCCTCACACACAGCGCAGTTTCCAGTAGGGTTCCAGCTCCTATGAGAATCTAATGCTGCTGCAGATCTGACAGAAGGTGGAGCTTATACGGTGATGAGTGATGGGTAGTGGCTGTAAATACAGATGAAGCTTCAGATGAAGCTTCACTTGCTAGCTGCTGGTCACCTCATGCTGGGCAGCCTGGTTCATAACAGGCCAAGGATGGGTACCATTCCATGCTCCAGGGTTGGGGATTGCAGATGTAGACAATCATATTATGATAAGATGATGACTTTATCCAAGTTGTATATAAAACAGAACTCAAGGAGAGTCTTTATTTCACTTTGGTATGTTTAGGGAAGGTGTCACAAGAGAGAGGAAGTATCCAAGCTAAGACTTGAAAGATGGCAAGGAGTTTGCTAAGTGACCAACCTAAGGGAAGGGCAGTTTATAAAGATTGGTTTGGTGGTTAAGATCAAGAAAAATAGGAAGTTCTGGTTCAAGAGAAAGGATATGAGTGAGAGATAAGGTTTGTAGTATTTGCTTAATTATTTATTAAACTGAAAATTCATATGAGAGGCACATACCTGCCTTCTTGACATTAAACCCAAAGATTTTTTTAAAAAAAACTTTTGGAGCATATGTTTTATTTATTTTGTTTTATTTTATTTTAAACAGAGTCTCACTTTGTTACCCAGGCTAGAGTAAGTGCCGTGGCGTCAGCCTAGCTCACAGCAACCTCAAACTCCTGGGCTCAAGCAATCCTTCTGCCTCAGCCTCTCGAGTAGCTGGGACTACAGGCATGCACCACCATGCCCGGCTAATTTTTTCTATATATTTTTAGTTGGCCAATTACTTTCTTTCTATTTTTAGTAGAAAGAAAAGACGGGGTCTCACTCTGGCTCAGGCTGGTTTCAAACTCCTGACCTTGAGTGATCTTCCCACCTCAGCCTCCCAGAGAGCTAGGATTACAGGTGTGAGCCATCCCGCCCAGCCTGGAGCATACACTTTAAAAGGCTAGGCAGAATTTGAAGACTGATTTGTTGTTATTAGATTCAACTCATTCTGACAGGGCATTAGCGAGAAGATGAGGAACAGAGGGGGTGGGAATAAACAAATAAAATATTTTTTTTTCCGATAACATTGAGGACAGGGAACATGTCTGGTAGCCCCTAGTTTGCTCAATGTCTCTTAGCGAATGTTAAGATAATATTTTTCGAATACTGTCTTGTTTGTATTAAAAACAATATTTTAATAATCATAAAACAATTAAGAAAAAATCATAAACTTTTTTCCTTGTTATTAAAATAATGCTTTGATAATTATGTCTACAAATAAATTTTTGTGAGTCTCAAATTAGTCAGGACAGACTCTTAGAATTTTTATAGCCTTTCATATGTCTGGTCTAGATTACATATCCAATATTTAAGACATTGCAAATAAACTATAATGTACATTTATATATAACTTGAGCAATGAAAATGAAAATAATTCCTCTTCAAGGTTTTACATATTTTTATTTGGTTTACAATTTGTTTCAATTTAGGGAGAAGGACTTCTATAGAAGTTTTTTAGGGAGTCAATTTAGGGGAAGAATGTCCACAGAAATGTTTATGTACCTTTTTGGAAATAACAGGCATGACAGTAATTTCCCTGGAAGAAAGTTTTTAATATCAACATACTTAGAATACAGCCTTGTGAATACAATATGCAATTGTTTAATATACATTAAAAAATCCTTAGTTTTAGAAAGTTTCCAACTGTCTAAATATCAAAAGAATCCACATTCTGGTATAAAGATGAACCATTTTCTGTATCATACCAAAATTAAAATTTACCCGTATTCTAACATTGAGAAATGAGATAAAATACCAACATTTTAAAGTTTACCTAGAAAAGATCAACAATGTCCTCATAGACTATGTTTACTATTATATAAAATTTTATTAATCTTATTTTCATTTTTTTAAATACATGATTTGTCCTATTTTAACAACATGATTTATATGTTAAACAGGGGGTTAGAATGTGGAGGGCAGTGAGAATTTGGAGGCAAAAGACCTGTATTTAGTCTAGATCACAGGCATTTATTTCTATCCTTTGTGCAAGTTGGCATGTAGTAAATGTCTGACTGAATAAATTACATTTACAAAGATTTCTTCAGGTATAAAACAGAGATAATATCACTTACCAAACAGTATGTTTATAAGGAAAAAGTAAGAGAAGGAATGGGTGCCAGAGTGCACCCATTGTGTAAGATTCTGAGTTAAATTATTTTAAAAATCTGTGTTAATAGTTTGTTATTTTGTATAAAATATTAAATTTCAAATAAACTCCAGTACTTGACTTTGATGAAGTATTTTATTTATAGCTATGTTTTCCTTTCAACAAAGATACTATTAACAACAGATTTGTTCAATATTCATTTTAAAGGGTAAAGGTGTCTTACTGATCATTAAAAATAATACTGTAATTCAGGTCAAACGCCGGCCAGTGTCTTTCAACCTCCTTTGGTTAAGTCATTGTAAGAAAGAATATTTTGTTTAAAAAGAAACACATTTGATTATAAAAAGGTCTAAAGTTTATAGTTTCCATTGAATTCCAATTCAACAGTATTTACTAAAGTACTTGGCATTTTTCTTTTATAGCATTTATCATATTGTATTATAAATATTATTTGTTTCCCTAAGGAGACTGAGCAACTTGAGGGCAGAAAATCATGTCATATTCATCTCATATCAAGTACCTAGCCTTTGGCTGGTTCTTTATAGAGGTCAGTGCCCAGCTGACACAGAATGCTTAAACAGAGGATCTGTGTTGTGACCAGCAGAGGAAAAAGAGCTATTATAATTTTGATTAGTTTTATGGTCAGAGTGATAGACAGTCTCAACAAACTGAAAATAGGATTTTAAGAGATTCCTTTTAGGTTTTTCTCTATGAATGAAGCTAATTTTAAGGTAGACAGATGTTATGTTAATAAAACAATTTGATACGAGGACGGTTTGGAGCATGCTATCAGGACAGTAACATGAAAATGACAGAGAAAACACAAAAATTTATTCTCATATTACTGAGTGGTAGTTTATTCAATAGTGTCAAATAATAATGAAGGAAGATGAAGTAAATTTGCAAAGCTTGTATTTTATAATGTTTTATTTTTATAATTTTTAATATGTTATATTAAGATATCAAGATATTATTGAAGATGGGAACTGGGTTGCATTAGTTAGTGTTTTGTATTTGGGGTGGGAAGATGAACCACATGAGAGTCTACACTTGGAAAAACTAGTTTTTATTCAAATGATTATTTGCCCAAATCATTCTGAGTAATGAAGTAGATATGGTCAGTAAATTTTCGATGATTATATACTGGTGAAAAGCTATTTGAAACCATATTAGAAAAAAAACATGTAATGACAATTGTAAGGAACTACATCCAATACTTAGGATAAAGATAAAGTGACTGGCCCGGCGTGGTGGCTCATGCCTGTAATCCTAGCACTCTGGGAGGCTGAGGCGGGTGGATCGAGGTCAGGAGTTTGAAACCAGCCTGAGCAAGAGCAAGACCCCGTCTCTACCATAAATAGAAAGAAATTAATTGGCCAACTAATATATATAGAAAGAATTAGCCGGGCATGGTGGCACATGCCTGTAGTCCTGGCTACTTGGGAGGCTGAGGCAGCAAGATTGCTTGAGCCCAAGAGTTTGAGGCTGCTGTGAGCTAGGCTGACACCATGGCACTCACTCTAGCCTGGGCAACAAAGTGAGACTCTGTCTCAAAAAAAAAAAAAAAGATAAAGTGACTAACAAGGTTTATACATCCACAAAAGGATTTTCATAAATATTTGTTGTAAGTACCTCATCGGAATTAAAAGAGACTTTTCCTACCTTTGCACTTGCTTAGAAGTCATTCCTTATTAAAAGAGAGTACTTATAGATTGTTGCCAGGATCCAAGCAAATGTAATTTAGAAAAAAAAAGTAGGCAATCCAAACAGAAAAATAAAGTTTTTATTCATAGTCATTACTTTATAGAAAAGATTTACATCAACTTATGATTAGGTATATGCTACTTTTCTGTTTGTATCACAAGCTTGAAAGGGGTTAAATAACTTATAATTAATAACTTATTTATTAATAATTTATATTAGTAAATCTTTACATAATTTGATCAAAACTGTTTGAAGGAAAGGGTTCCTATTAAACATTTGGTGAAATAAAGCAAATCCTTTAATTGTTTAAGTGGCAACCATAAGAATAGTTATGATAATTCTATTTTGTAAAATAATTAGCATTTGCATAGCTTTATCACAGACGTATGTATATCTTTATAGAGAACTACATTTCATTTCCCTTATGTACTATGGTTGCTCTATTTGACTTACTAAAAAAGGAGATAAAAAGCAAGCTGATGTGTAAGCTGATTGATTACATTTTAACTTATAAACTGTGAAGATATAGTAAATACTTTTCTGAGATTAAATTTTATTGTAGGTTTATGAAGAGAAAAAATAAGCCCACTATACTGGTATGCCATTAATATTTCTGAGGTATAGAATGTATTTGTAAAGCAGTTAAAAAGAAAAAAAAAGCTTAAGAGTTTTGGTATCAACACACATGGGAGCACCAATTTTGACGTTGGAAATGTAATATTTTTATTATGAGAAAAAAAGTAGTATACATTTATCTATTTGCTTCATTAAGGTAAAAGTTAATCCTGAACTTTGTATTATTTCACTACATATTTTCTTAGAAGGTGAATATAATCAGCTACCAGACTACCAGTCTGAGGTACTTGGAGGCCTTACCTAGTTTGGATGACTCAAGAGTACTTCACATTCAAATATACTGTTTTCAAAATATTTTACAACCTATTTTATAATCTATTCCTATGAGAGAGGCCAAGCTCACTTTTACTGATAAAACTATACAGAAAGTTTAAATAAGAAAATTTGCCCTGTACCTTAGGTTTTTTTCAATAAATTTTTAAATCACAATGCCAATAATAATTTAATTAATATAAAACCCAGTAGTTTTAAGGTCATATTTAATGTTGGTTAAATCCTACTTAGCATCTTATTTAGAATGTAATATCCCAATTTTGGTACAGGAAATAATTCTTTTCTAATATAAATTAAACATATTACTTGTCATAAGCTGTTCTTTAACAGTAGTTTAAAAAGAAAAACAAAAACACCTTGCAAACATACAATTTCCTAGCAAAATTTTTAAGTACGTAATTCTCATGTAAGGCACTTCCATTCATTTTCAAATGAAAATTTCATAAAATTTTCTATTTTTTGTAATCAAGTCTTCATAAGTTATACAGTAATAATGTTACTTCAAGTAAAACTTTATTAAATACTGAATTTTGGCATAATGGCCATAAATATCTTTGTCTCTGAAAAAAGTGAAGAATGGGCATCAAGTTCAATGCAAGCTCAACTTAAATGAAAGTATTCTTGGTCTGTATTAGATTTAGAGACTTGGTAATGTTTTATCTTGTTGATCTTGTTCAAGAATCTTGAAATCTTCCAAAGGAAGATTGCTTAAGGCAGCTGGTAAAATGTGTTCTGATGTGCCCTTAGGTAACATGTTATTTGCTTCTAAATTCTTCACCAAGCACGTGGCTTTGATCCATCTTCGAGTTGCTCTGCGTTCTTTTTGTAGGCAAGTTTTCATTTTTCTTCTTAAGCTTGCTATTTCTTTTTCCAGTTTAATTATCCTCTTTTTTGCCTCCATAGGATTCCTAAAGGCATAACTGTGTTCAAGTAGTACTTGCTGACTACTAATGTTTGATTTTAAATTAGATGGTCCAGCTGGAGTACAACTGTTGTTTTTCTTCAAAAGATTCCTTGACTTGAGTTTCTGAGCCCAATAAAATTAGAGGGTTGAATATAAATTATGGAATATCACAAATAAATAAATACTGTCCAGTTTTGGATAACAGTAAACTATTCTTTTAAGAATCAATTTTAAAAGTTTGATAGGAAACAGCAGCAGCCCATCTCATGTAAACATGGATTAAGTTTCTGAACTGGTTGAATTAACTCTAGTCACCTATTTTCTTTTTGATCTCTCTCCAAAGAGATTCAAACACTGATTTGAAAATTGACAATGGACTTCCAACGTCTCTTCAAATTATTGAATATGATTCTACTAAGACTTTAAAAACTCTTTGCAGTGTACTTACTAAGGTCAATTTAGTATGTATTTAGACATTTTGTTTATTATCAATGATGTTAATTTGATCCTCCTTTTAGTTAAATACTATTTTCTTAATTTAATGAATATTTTAGACCCAGGGTCCTACTTAATAAAAATGGTAGGATCCATACAAACATATTCTTAAGTATCAAGTTTCTAAATAGATTTTTCTATTAATTGTTCATGGTTACATCTTCAAGGATTTAAAATCTGGCTAAGAACTTTCTGCCCCAATCAGAAACCTGAGGAGCCTGTTTTTTATCTCTTTTATTCAAATAGTCTTCAAGCCCTATTAATTCTACCTCCTAAATATTTCTATCATAAATCCTCTCCTCTTCATCATTCTTAATACCACTACCTACAACAGGCCCATATCGTATATGGCTTGACTATGTTACTCTTTATTACCCATGTTATTCTTTATTAATCTCTCTACCTCATTTTGATCCTCATTACTCCATATTCTGCCTCCAGAATAATTTTTCTAGCAGATTTGGCATTTCTATTCTGGCTAAATTCCTCTTTGCCTACCCATTATATAAAGGAAAAAAATTATTTACATGGTATACCATATCATTTAAAATCTCACTCTATTCTGCCATTCACCATCTTGATTTATATTCCAGCAAACTACTTAACTACTTAAGAGTTCCCAGATTATATCATATCCTCATAAATTTGTGTCTTTAATTCATTAAATAAACTCTTATTAAAACACATACTATGAATTCCTGGGGACACAGCAGTTAACAATTAAGATAAATATGGTTCCTGTCCTCATGAAACCTACAGTTGGTCCATTTGCCTAGGATATTAGCAGGGACTCTTTTGGTCTTTATATCTCCAGCATCTAATGTAGATTCTGGCATAACGTAAAGTTTAGTTGTATTTATTGAATGAATAAATGATCAAAATGTCAAAAATAAGGTATACTTCAAGTTCAATAAAAATTTGAATCCATATTATATCCGAGGCACTATTTGAGGTGGTAAGGATTCAGAAGTGAAAAGGACAAAGTTCTTGCCCTCATGAAGCTTTTCTAACATCTGTGATAATTAGTTCACCAACTCTTTGAGAGCAAAGAGTTCACAACCTCTGCTCTCATTCAGATAGTAACTCATGTATATTTACAAATTTAACTGTCACAAATAATAGAAGCAGTTATTTTTTCCTCTCTTAGAGGAAAATCCCTGTCCTACTTTTCAAAGCTAAACCCTCTGTTGGTGTTCATTCTACCCCCTTTTATGTTTTGGTGACTGTCTTTCTCAGCTAGGACTTCCTCTCTGATCATATCTTCCCTTACTAGATAAAACATTGTTTTAATTAATTCATCTTGTACCTTAATTCTCACTTTCCTTTTCAGTATCACTTGCCAACATTTCATTATTTTCCACTCACCCCTCAACCCATTGGCTTTTGTTGTCACCATGCAATTGCAATTGTTCTGCACAAGGTCAAGATTACACTCTCCTGAATTCCAAACTTTTAAGTGTTTAAGCCCAGCCTAAATGCCTGAGCTCTATGAAGTTTTCTGTGGTGCTTCTTCCCTCTGAACTGACATCCTGTGGTGTAACTCTGGGTGTACTCCTAAGTGCCCTTAAAGCACTTAGCAAATGTTAGGTGTCACTTAAAATCAGAGCAGGGTGATGCTGGAGGTTTCATTACTTGTATGTTTTTTGTTTTATTAGTGGTACAATTGTTAATAATATTTGGTAGTAATTAAAATTCCAATATAGTAAAACAATTTGGGTTGGGGGAAGAATGTTGGAGTTAGGAGACCCAAGCTCTAATTTTAGCTTGCACCTTTACTGCATAAGAGTCTAACTTTCTTGAGGTATATTACTATGTATGAATTTCAGTATATCCTAAATTTCTCCATTGTATAAACAAAAAGGAATGGGTTCTAAAAATGGTTAAAAAAAAGGAGAGTAACATTACCTACCATTGACTTTATATGGGTACAAAAATCAAAAATGGTTGGAACAGCATCCATTTTAAGTCGTCGAGTTTGTCCTGTTAGGTCAAAACAGGAGGCTTCAAAGTGCTTTGAACAAAGAAAAGTATGTTTTCCTGGCACAAAATTTTTGCGCCTAACCAGGCGAACCCATTCTTTTCTTCTTTTAGGATCCAAGGGAAACCTTAAAAAAAAAATAGGCAACTCAAATTTCAACTGTCATACTCTAATTGCACCTAAATGATTAAAAGAAATTTAAAAGGTCATAGTTTAAAGTGTCTTCCATTTACATAAAAAATTTTAAACTCACAATATCCAGACACAGAAACAGAAACCAATTCATGGTAATTTTTATAAATGATAAAAAAAAGAAAAAACTGATTTTGGTAAATTTCCTGAGCTTTTAGAGAGAGATATTTGTTCCCAACCTAGTTCTTAACATGCATAGTAAAGTAAAACACGACTAAACTGATCTAGACCAAGTTTACATAGAACCATTATAAGGAGGAGTAACTTTACAATGCTTTGCTCTGCTGCTGGTATAAGTGGTCAAGAAAATCAGATATCTAAACATTAAATTTTATCAGGCAAAGTCTAAGCAGATTCTGGTACTCCTTACCTCTGTGTTCCATCATTATGACACCTAAACCACATTGTTTTATAATTTTTCCATTTTAATAAATTTCCAGTAAAATAAAGGATTGTATGTTTCTTGAGGACAGAGATCATTAATGTATCTTTTCATCTATTTATCTTTGATACTTAGCATAGTGCCTTGCAAACAGTAGGAACTCAACAAAAATTTGCTCAATTAATACAAATACAGAATTTGTGGCAATGTTTTTCCTTTCATATTTATTAATATTTCAAATGCAAAATACAGTTGACCCCTTGAACAATGGCTTTGAATTGTGCAGGTCTAATCATATGTGTGTTTTTCCGATAAATTTCCAATAAATGGGAAATTTTTTTAGATTTGAGATAATTCAAAAAAACTTGCAGATGAACCATGTAGAAATATCAAAAAAATTAAGAAAAAGGTATGTCATGAATACTTAAACTATATGTAGGTACTATTCTATCATTTACTACCATAAGATCTACATAAATTATAAAAAGTTAAAATTTATACAAACATGGACTATGCATGGCTCCATTCATAATAAAGAGAAATGTAAACAAACACAGATGCAAAATTAAATCATAACTGCATAACATTAAGTGTGGTATATACTGTGCTATTGTAATAATTTTGTAGCTATCTCCTGTTGCTATTGTATTTAGCTCAAATGTTGCAAGTTTCCATTTAAAACTTCATGTGACACTGATCATCTCTCTGCCTAAGCAATTTTGTCTCAGTTTTAACTGATACATAGTTAAATTGTGTATCATGGTAAAAAGTGATCTCTTGTGGTTCTTGAATATTTTTCTTCACGGTTAGTGCAATACCATAAACCTTGAATAACATCATGGGACCCATATGAGTGCCACTAGTGATGCTGGACATGCTCCCAGGAAGCAGAGAAAAGTCATGAAAATACAAGAAAAACTTGAATCACTTGAAGTATACTGTAGCTTGAGGCCTGTAGCTGTTGTTGCCTGCCATTTCAAGATAAATGAATCCAGGACCATTGAAAAAAAGAAAATTTTTGAGGCTATTGATGTAGTTATACCAGCAGGCACAAAAACATTGCACTTTTTGCAAAATACCTTTTCATTTTGCGTTGAAAATGCAGCTTTTACGTGGGTGGAGGATTGCTATAAGAAAGGCATACCTATAGATTGTAATATGATTTAAGAAAAAGTCATTGTGTGACAACTTAAAGCAAAAGGAAGGTGTATGATCTAAAGCTGGAGAATTTAATGCTAGCAAAGGATGGTTTGATAATTTTAGAAAAGGTTTGGCTGGGAGGCCGAGGCGGGCGGATTGCTCGAGGTCAGGAGTTCAAAACCAGCCTGAGCCTGAGCGAGACCCTGTCTCTACTATAAATAGAAAGAAATTAATTGGCCAACTAATATATATATAGAAAAAATTAGCCGGGCATGGTGGCGCATGCCTGTAGTCCCAGCTACTTGGGAGGCTGAGGCAGGAGGATTGCCTGAGCCCAGGAGATTGAGGTTGCTGTGAGCTAGGCTGATGCCACGGCACTCACTCTAGCCTGGGCAACAAAAGCGAGACTCTGTCTAAAAAAAAAAAAAAAGAAAAGGTTTGGCTTAAAAAATGTCAAGATAACAGAAGCAGCAGCTTCTGCCAACCAAGAGGCAGCAGTGAGTTCCCAGAAGCCATTAAGAAAATCACTGGAGAAGGGATACCTACCTGAACAGGTTTTTAATACAGATGAAAGTGCCTTATTCTGGGGGAAAAAAAAAAAAGGCCACAAACGACATTTATTAGTAAGGAAGAGAAGTGAGCACCAGGATTTCAGGCAGGAAGGGATGGACTAACTCTACTGTTTTGTGCAAATGCAGTCAGGTTTATGGTAAGGACTGCCCTTATTTATAAAGCTGCTAAACCCCCAGCCTTGAGGGGAAAAGATAAACACCAGCTGCTAGTCTTTTGGTTGTATAAGAAGGCTGGGACAATGAAAATGCTTTTTTTGGATTGGCTCTGTTGATGCTTTATCTATGAAGTCAGGAAGTACCTCGCCAGTAAGGGACTGCCTTTTAAAGTTCTTTTGATATTGGACAATGCCCCTGGTCCCGCCATAAGTTCAATACCAAAGGCCTTGAAGTGGTGGTCTACTTGTCCCCAAATACAATGTCTCTAATTTAGCCTCTAGATTAGGGGTTCAGAAGGACCTTAAAGCTCATTACACAGGGTCCTCTGTGAAAAGGACTGTCAACACTGTGGAAAAGAACCCTGAGAAAACATCATGAAAGTCTAAAAGAATTATACCATTGAAGATACCACTGTTACAGAAAAAGCAGTGAAAACCATCAAGCCCAAAACAATAAATTCCTGCTGGAGAAGTGTGTCTGGATGTTGTCCAGGACTTCACAAGGAAATGATGAAAAAGACTGTGGATATGGCAAAAAAAGTTGGTGGAGGAGCAGTGAAGGGTTTCAAGATATGGAACTTGGAGAAATTCAAGAACTAATAGACATCACACCAGAGGAGTTAACAGAAGATGATTTGATGGAGATAAGTGTTTCTGAACAAGTGCTAGAAAACAAAACTGACACTTATTCAAGACTGCTTTTGACTTGTTTTATGACATGGACCCTTCAATGATAGAGGGACTGAAACTAAAGCAAATGGGGAAGGATTGGTATAGTACAGAAACATTTTTAGAGAAATGAAAAAGCAAAAAAGTCAGAAATTACAATGTTTCCATAAAGTTACACCAAATGTGCCTACCTCTCTGCCTCCCCTTCCACCTCCTCCACCTCTTCCCTGTCAGCCAACCTTGAGACAGCAAGACCCACTCCTCCTCTCCTACCTCCTCCATACTCAACATAATGATGAAGATGCTTTATGGTGATCCACTTCTACTTAATGAATAGGAAATATATTTTCTCGTACTTATGATTTTCTTAATAACATTTTCTTTTCTCTATTTTAAGAACACTGTATATAATACATATAATTATACGAAATATGTGTTAATTGTTATTGGTAAGGTTTCTGGTCAACAGTGGGCTATTAGTAGTCAAGTTTTTGGGGAGTCAAAAGTTATATGTGGATTTTCAACTGTGTGGTTGGGGGATCAGCACCCCTAATCCCCACATTATTCAAGGGTCAACTGCATACTGATCTGCATCCAGTATATACCTGTTAAGGAAGAGATAAATATAAGGGGCTCTCTCTAAAAATTCTTCTGGTTAATTTGAAACATAAGAATCAGTATTGACATGTAATAAGTTTGAGTTGAACTCTTTAGTTTGATTACCTTATCCGTTAAGTATTAATTATGAACTGATTAGTGTTAAAAAAAATAAAATCCAAGTTGGAAGATCACGTGGTTCAGAAGCCCCCAAATGAAGCCTCATTAGGTAACAGGTTTGAATATATCATATATACTAGGTTTGTTCATATTACCAGCAATGAGAGTACAATGAGATGACAGTCTAGATTTATAGTCAGCAACCTCCCATATCCTGTCCCCATCCACCTAAATCTCAAACATATCCTGATCTGAAAATGTTAACATTTGTGTGTCTCTATAGTTTTTGTAAGTTTTCATATATGTTTTTCCTATTTCATTAGAAAATAAAAATTTTCTGATAAAGACATTTGCTCTGCCTAGCCCTCACCTCTTAATGATAATCTGTTCTCATTTCAAAGATCTCTGTTCCAATATTTAATGGTTTGGAAATGTTTCCTAAAGCCTAAGCTAAAAATCAAGCTTTAGTTAAGTATATTATTCTTCTTGTCAGAGCCTCAATAAAAACTTAGAACAAGTAAGTACTACCATTGCATTATCATTTGTATAAGACTCTTTATTTTTTTATTTTTATTATTATTATTTTTGAGACAGAGTCTCGCTTTGTTGCCCAGGCTAGAGTGAGTGCCGTGGCGTCAGCCTAGCTCACAGCAACCTCAAACTCCTGGGCTCAAGCAATCCTTCTGCCTCAGCCTCCTGAGTAGCTGGGACTGCCCGGCTAATTTTTTCTATATATTTTTAGTTGGCCAATTAATTTCTTTCTATTTTTAGTAGAGATGGGGTCTTGCTCTTGCTCAGGCTGGTTTTGAACTCCTGACCTTGAATGATCCTTCCTCCTGGGCCTTCCAGAGTGCTAGGCTTACAGGCATGAGTCGCCACGCCTGGCCAAAGGAACTAATTTTAAAAAGAGCTTTAAAAAATAATTAAGGAGCTGAAAAATAATTTCAGGTAGTCTTCGTATGTCTAAAGAGTCTTAGGCCGGGTGCGGTGGCTCACGCCTGTAATCCTAGCACTCTGGGAGACCGAGGTGGGAGGATGGCTCAAGATCAGGAGTTCAAAAACCAGCCTGAGCAAGAGTGAGACCCCATCTCTACTATAAATAGAAAGAAATTAATTGGCCAACTAATATATGTAGAAAAAATTAGCCAGGCATGGTGGCGCATGCCTGTAGTCCCAGCTACTTGGGAGGCTGAGGCAGCAGGATTGCTTGAGCCCAGGAGTTTGAGGTTGCTGTGAGCTAGGCTGACGCCATGGCACTCTAACCAAGACAACAGAGTGAGACTCTGTCTCAAAAAAAAATAAAATAAAATAAAATAAAGAATAAAATAAACAAATAAAACTAGTTCCTTAATTATGAAGCCAATGCCTCAAAGTGAACCTTAACTTAAACAAATTCTACTTCCTTAAGACTGTTGGGAATCCCATTTACTAAGGAAGTTTTTCATGATAAAAGACTGGGTTAAATGTTGCTATTAATATAATCATATAGCACTAATATCACTGTATTCTAATTGTTTACTTTTCTATCTCCCTCACTAGACTGTAAGTTTCTGGGTAGCAGCTATGTTTTTCACTACTTTATCCCAGGAACTAGCATTGTACCTGTTAGGCACTCAATGAACTTTTCTGAGTGAATCAGTGAATGAATGAACTAGTAGGGTTAATTTGGCATTACTAAATAATCTTTGGATTATCTGTGATGAAACAGAATAAAACTTTATATTTTGGTATAATGTTTTTGTCAGCAGTAACCTTAGTCATATTTTGGATCTGTTTTTTGGATTTTTCTCAGCACAAAGAGTGAGAGATGTAGCCCATAAGCTGAGTTTAAGTTCAGCTTAATTTAGTAATAAATTATAATAACCTACAACTAATAAAAAATTTAACATGGTAACAGATGCACATATTCCTGTCTATATAATAATAGAACCAGGCTTTCATAAATGACAGATGTTTTAGAAAATCACTTAGTAAATTAAACAGTGCTATTTTGCTTGTAATTTTAATAAATAGTTGAATGCTTCTTATATTCAGGCACTGTCCTAGGCACTGAAGACATGGTTGTAAACCAAACAAGACATGGTACTTATCCTCTATGAGAATATACTGTAATGGGGAAGCAAATAGCTTGATGCAGTAGAACAGAGTGACTGAGAACATTGTCTCTCGACTCAAACCAGGGCACCCATCGTGACTCCTTTGCATAATAGCTGGATAACTTTAGGCATGTTATTTAATCTTTTTTTTTTTATTTCAGCATATTATGGGGGTACAGATTTTAAGGTTTCAATAAATGCCCATTTCCCTCCCTCCCCCCAAAAGTCTGAGTCTCCATCATGACCATCCCCCAGATGGTGCACATCTCACTCATTATGTATGTATATACCCACCCCCCTCCCCCCTCCCACCTGCCCATTATTTAATCTTTTTGGGTTTCCTTTTTATCATCTATAAAGTCGGGTAAGAATGGTACCTAGTGCAGTTTTAAGGATTGAGTAAATGCTTAGCCCAGTGCACAGTACATGGTAAATACTAAATCAATGCTATTTATCATAAAAGTAATTACAAGTATCCATGAGTCTTAGGGTTGCATGGAGCCATAAAATAGGAAGAGCTAATCTAGTCAGGAGCCCTTAAAGAAGGAATTAGCGAGGGAAGTAGTGGTGAAGAGTGTTAAGAACATCTTGAGGACAGGGAAGAATATTATGATATGAAATGATGCTGGAGGGCTTTCTAAGTCAAATAGTAATTTTGAACTTTATCCAAAATGGCATTGGTAAGCCATTAAAGGGCTAAAATGTGAGAGCTGATTGTTAACAGAAAATTTGTGGGAGCTGGTTGTTAACCATAGCCATTATTAAAAATTAAATTATATCTGCCTTAGAGGAAATATATGAAGTTAAAAAAAATAAAAAAATAAAATAGAACAATGTATTTTTAAATTTTTAAAAAAATAAACAAATTTAAATTATATTTAAATTTGCAATTAAAACTAAAGGTAATAAACATTAAAAACTCCTAATTATTTTGCTGTTATCTAAACTCTTAAGGTTATATCCATTGTATCTGTATGGTGGAAATACTATATAGTGTGGGCCTGCTGATGTCATATAGGTGGTTTGAAACCAGCCATGGTAGGAATATTTATATCAGGGAGATTGGGGAAATACTACAAATCAGGGCTTTCTCCCTTCCCTAGAGAGCCAGTTGTTAAACATTTAGTAACACACCACTGATTTTATAGAAGAGTGGCTAGAATACATGAAAGGAAGCAGTGAACCAGTTAAGTCTGTTGCAATAATCTAATCAATAGGTAATGATAAGAAGTCAAGGGATAAAGACTTCCAAGTTTCTGTAGAGATGGTGTTTCCATTAATTAAGAGAAAACAGGAAGTGGGGTATGTTTGGCTTAAGAGAAAGGGCAGTTCATGAATACAGATACTGTATCTGGGTGACTGGAGGGAGACTAGGGAAATACTGAGTAGACACTTGGCCTATAATTCTGGAATTTATTAGAGATATGAACTGGAAACATTGATTTGGGAGATATCAATGAGTAGATTTAAAATGAGACCACAGGAATAGCTGAAATCATTTTGATAACAGTATGAAGACCTAGGATAGGGCATGGGGAGAAGGGCTGGCAGAGGAGATTGAAGATAAGCCAAAGAAGATAATCACAACATTGTGTCAAATAATTCAAAAGTAGACAGTATTTCAAAGAGGAAATTATCACACAACATGAAAAATGAATGTAGAGAGACATAGAAGTCATGTTAGTAAGAGCAGTTTTCAGATTATTAGGGAAACTTAGACTAGAGGGGACTAAGAGGAAAGAAAAATAGAGACAAAGTTTAGGCAACATAACTTGTACATGGGGATAAAGAAATCTACTGTCCTAGAAGAAGAGTTAATCAGATATTGTTTGTATTTATGAAACAGGAATGTATTTTTATCATAATCAATGCCGTTTTAAGGTTTAAATTTCTGAGGTTATACATGAAAATGTTAATTTCATAACAGGCAAATGATATGCATATTATTGTACCACTGTCCATCTCTCAAACATTGTTATTGGGGGCCAGGCGTGGTGGCTCATGCCTGTAATCCTAGCTCTCTGGGAGGCTGAGGTAAGAGGATTGCTCAAAGTCAGGAGTTTGAAACCAGCCAGAGCAAGAGCGGGACCTTGTCTCTACTAAAAATAGAAATTAATCGGTCAACTAAAAATATATAGAAAAAATTAGCCGGGCAGTCCCAGTTACTCGGGAGGCTGAGGCAGAAGGATCGCTTGAGCCCGGGAGTTTGAGGTTGCTGTGAACTAGGCTGATGCAATGGCACTCTAGCCTGGGCAACAGAGTGAGACTCTGTCTCAAAAAAAAAAAAAAAAAAAAAAATTTGTTATTGGTGCCTGGAGTCCTCCCTCTCTTTCATCTTCCAAATGAAATTACTAAATTCAGTAGTTTTTCCTTAAACATTTCTCAGATCTATCCCTTTCTCGTCATCCCTACTGTCAATACCACCCTAGCGTGGGACACAGAGTGGACTCGTTTTAGCATAGCTTCCTAATTAGTTTTCTTTATCAATTTTCACTTCCCCTGATCCAGTGATGGTTTGAAGTACAGCTGGCTAAGTACAGTATTTAATTTAGTTGACATTGTAGCAGGATTTCCCTGTGAAGGAAATAATAGGTAAATTAACATTCTGTAATAAGCCCCTTTTTCATCAAGTTCATCTCTGATGATGCTTGACCAGCACTCTAAGTAACACTGTAATTCTCCACACTGCAGCCAGAGGGCTTTTTAATATGCAAATCTAATCATACCTTTCCTTTTAAACTACTTACCTCTCCTACCCTCATGGCTTCTAGAGTACACTTAGGATAAAATAGATACTTAAGTAGCATAAAAGACTAAATCTAAGTCCTCCTTTGGTCTCATTTGAAATGTCACATCCTTTGAGAAGTGTTGTTTGACTTTCAAGGCTAAGTTAGGTCTCTCTGAATGTCTCTTCTGTGGCACTTAACTATTTATGTCATTCTCCCCCATTAAACTCTAAACTCCAGGAGGGTAAGAACTTTCTGGATCTTTAGCACAATGTAAGGCAATTATGAACTCGATACATATTTGATCTATGAATGAATAAAACACTACATTTGCATAAAGTAGTTTAAAAACAGAAACATCACAAAATTTTTTTTAAAGTGGTAGCTTTTAATAAAGGGGTACATTTAGTAATAGGGAAAAAAGTCAAGGATATAATTTTCTGCATTCTAAGAGCATATAAGTTGTGAGGTATATAAAATCAGACCTGTTTTCACTTAACTTTTTAATGTTTCTTTTCTTCAGCCACGTGGCAGGCACTTGCAGACAAGGTAAACATTTACTGAGTACCTGTTATTTTCCAGGCAATGTTCAAAGTGCTTTTGAGAGTTCGGACTTGATAGAACTAAAGAATTTTGATCGCTCTTCCAGTAAACGAAGGAAAAAAATAAAACCCAGGTTCTTTTTATTACTCAGTTCTAGTAAGAACAGAAAGTATATCTTTTACACTTTCATTAACATTGCTTAATTCCGTGGCTATTAAAGATGACTCAATTCCTCCGCAGTTACTCTATGTGACTATTAGAAATCTAAATGCTTCCCATGTCAATTTGGCTAGTGACAATTTCCTAATTTTAACGAGAACACAGCAGGCTTTTAAGGTGATTGCTGACTTGAACGGGGAGATCTCTCTGTCCCTTATGGCGTCATTCATGCCAAGACCCGGTCTAATATATAGAAGTAAAAGAATAGAAAATTAAGGTAGGCTTCTGTCACTTTTTCACTAAGGGGTAATCACCACACAGTACTTGGATTTCTTTTAGAGAGTAAAGAAAGCTTCCCCAAAAGGAGAGAAACATTGGTCAGATTTGGGAAACACAAAGACAAAAACGATGCTTCCCTGCTACCAGCTGGGAAAATTATTAGAATAGGTAGAATCCTCCTGTTCCTTCCACACAAGGGATACCCAGAATACGAGCTCCCTTTCCATCACCCCCGCTCCCTGCCCAAGTTACCTGTGGAAGCTGATGTTAATGTGTTTGTTGTAGGTAGTAGCACAGCCCGCCGCGGCGCAATTGGTCGGCATATCCCTTTAGCCCTCATTCGGCGCTGTCTTAAGCCTGTTCTGAGGAGCTGGCCGCTAAGCTTCTTTGAGGCAGAGGCTGGACAATCGAGGCAGGCGTGCCTTAGTCGAAAGAGTTGTCTCAAGAGCCCGGTGGGAAAAAGGGGTGTGTATGTGGGGGCGGAGGCGAGGGAGGGTCAACCTTCCCTCTCTCTTTATTAATATGGCGGACTTGAGCCAGCAGAGCTGACCATCCTAGAGCTCTAGTCGCCTTCGTTTGATTTCACCAACATGGCGGACACAACCCGTTCTTTCCTCCTACCCCCTAGAGGGAGTAGATCTACTGCGTCACTTTGACAGCAATCTTCCGGGCAATAAAAGTAAGAGGCGTTTTCCCCTCTGATTACTATAAAACTCTCTCAAGGTTGCAGCTAAGAGCAGGTCTGCCCACGCCCGCACGTACTCAGCTGTCCCAGCTTGAGGTGGGCGAGACCCGTAGACCGGAAGGGCTAACCCGAGGAGAGACTAAACACTACAAATCCCATTGAGCATCGTGTTGTCATTAATTATTATCGCGTGAATTGAGAGAGTCGTTTCCTGCTTGTTGCAGGAAGTGACGTCTCCGGGACAGCCGCTTCCAAAGCCCCTTTCTCGCGAGGCGGAAGAGCCCCGATCGCCGAAGAGCAAGGGGGCGCTAGGAGAGGGAAGTGGGTTGCGACGGTCCGGCGACAAGGAGCTAGGGTGCGGGGAAGTTGGGGAGCAGAGGCCGCTAGGTGTCCGAGTAGGGGAAGGCCGCACCAGCCGGGGCCGTTAGAAGAGCAGAGGAGGAAGGCAATTGTCGGGCGGATTCCGGGACGGAGGGCTAAGGTTGTGTGGAAAGCGCTTCTCCCCGGATGGCGACAGCAGATACTCCGGCCCCGGCCTCCAGTGGCCTCTCGCCAAAGGAAGAAGGGGAGCTTGAAGATGGGGAGATCAGTGACGACGATAATAACAGCCAGATGAGGAGCCGGAGCAGCAGCAGCAGCAGCGGCGGCGGGCTGTTACCTTATCCGAGGCGAAGGCCTCTTCACTCGGCCCGGGGCGGTGGATCCGGCGGAGGCGGTGGCTCTTCCTCGTCATCGTCCTCTTCCCAGCAGCAGCTGAGGAATTTCTCACGCTCGCGGCACGCGTCGGAGCGGGGCCACCTCAGGGGACACAGCAGCTACCGACCCAAAGAACCGTTCCGGTCTCACCCGCCCTCCGTACGGATGCCTTCGAGCTCACTGTCCGAAAGCAGTCCCCGGCCGTCTTTCTGGGAGCGGAGCCACATAGCCTTGGACCGTTTCCGCTTTCGAGGCAGGCCTTACCGGGGTGGGAGTCGCTGGAGTCGGGGACGAGGAGGGGGTGAGCGAGGAGGCAAGCCGGGGTGCAGACCTCCTTTGGGAGGAGGAGCGGGATCCGGATTCAGCAGCAGTCAGAGCTGGAGAGAGCCTTCTCCACTTCGGAAGAGCTGTATCCTTAACGTGGCGGTCTGCCCTGGGTGTGTCACTTACTCAAGTTCCCTTTAGCGTCATTACTAGGTCTGTGAGATACGAGTGTAACTTTTCTGAACTGTCAGAACCGTTTATTTGTCCCTTGTGTCAGTATACCTAAAGTAACCTGTGTTACACCATAGCGTTGTTTCCTAGATTATTGGGTATATTGCTTTTTAACATTAACGTGTTACGGATTAGGGTGAGCTAATAAAATCTAAGACAGTCAAATCTGATTTGTAATAGTACGTTAGAAGCCCGTTTCATTAGCATTTGTTTTTGCTGGTACAGGAATTTTGTCTTTTATGTGAAATTGACTTAGCTTGTTGGAGAAAAAATACTCATAAACATTTTGGGGAATACTGTTTCTTTCTGATATTGCACTTTGACATTGAATGTTGTAAAGTTTCATTCTGCATAATCCTACTGTTTTTGTGCTTCTATTTTTACTTTTCTTGATTTTTCTTCCCATTGCTGCCATTTAAAGTGGGGAGAAAAACAGTGTCTTTATCAACTCTGTTAATTCAGAGCTTTTAAATTCATTTATCTTTTTGAAAAGGTTTACCTCCTTGATGTTTCTATTTTCTGTCTCTTTTGGACAATGTGTGACTCTTAGTGCTGACTAAATGTGAGCCAGAGGGAGAAAGATAAACTTACCATTTTTATTTTACTATATTAGAGTGGGCAAGTGTATATGCGAGGGTGGAGATTATGAACAAGTTGAGAGGAAAGTAGCAAAATATCTGATTTTTGCTACCTCTAACCTTATTCTCAGCTATTTTTAATATTACTGAGTTTACTCAGGATTTATACTGAGGAATCAATTATCTGAAGGTTTCTTGTTTTATGATGGGTTTGTATTTCTTGAGTTACTCTGCAATAACATAAAAATTGTTTAAGTATTTTCATTACTAGTTGTAATTTCCATGGTGCAATGATTTTTTAATACATTCATTATATATAAGATTTACATATAATGACACTTATTTGGAAGACACGCAAAATTACTTTTACAGAATACTTAGAGCCAGAATGGTCTTTCCCAGATGTTGGGATGTAAAGGGGGCAGGGAACATACATTTAGGTAAGAAACAGCAGCTTCTGGTGCTAGTGTCTTGAAAAAACTTGTTTCTAAAACCAAAAGTTGGATTAGGGAGCATTGCAAGATTGTTTCAGAGAAAATCATACAGGTATTTTACCTTTTAAAAAGACAGTGTTATTCCAAGATGATTAGAAAACTTCTGCCTAAGATATTTTTTATCTGTGGATTTGTTGTTTATTCTGAATCCAAAGCCAGGAGAGCTATTTAAGGATATATATTTATACACACATATATATGTGTGTGTGTGTGTTTTAAGGATACAAAGGTGCAATTTGTAATATATGTTATGGAGACAATGAAAATAAACAAAGTTTAGTATTAAAAAAGTTCAAACTGAAGTATGTAAAAAGTACTGTGGGAGCTCTAAGCTTTTTCTTAATTTATTTTATATTAGATGAGGGGAAGTCAGTGGGCTTGCCTGCTTTCTGCCTTTGTCTTTGTTCATTCATTACCAGTTTGGGCCTCTGCCATATACCTTTATTAATTGTTAAGCTTACATGTTTTTATTTATAGACAGGCATATGATGTTACAGAAAAAGTACAGGAAGATATCCAGTCTGTCTGTGTGACTTTGATTTCTGTAGTAACTTGTTAGAAATGAGCTATCTTGCTATTTTTCTTTTCACAGATGCTGCATTTAAGAAACGGATGCCTTGTTTTGATCCTCTACTCATTGTTTTCCTCATGAATTCTCCCTTATCCATCCTAGAGGTGGTGTTCTTTTTTAAGAATTTGAGAAGGAAAACATAGTTCTCAGCCACTTTTGTATTAATGTGAGCAAACAAAATGTATAATACAAAACTTTGTTCAAATTCCTTAATATCAAGATTGTACTCAGTTTAATTCATATTTCCACTGATTACAACAGCTTTTTAATTTTTACAAATATTGTATAAAGAAAGAATAAAAGTTATTCTGTGGTTATTTCTATAATCTAGAAGTGAAGTAGTCCAAGTACCGGGGCTATTTCTTTTTTTGCCACAAGTTCTTTCACTATAATAAGATGTGCTAGTTGCAGCTTTAAAGAAATAGAATAAACGAGATTCTATTGCAGTTCTTATTTTCATTATTTTTTCTTAATAATATACACTGTCAGTATAAGTTTAAGTCTCTCTTGAATGACTACTGTTTTAAACTTTCAATTCTGATGAGAGCTAACATAATTAGGCTAGTGTCTGTCATCAGTAAAAAGTCATTCCATTTTCAGCTGCAGCTGAACAAGTTGAATAGCCGTTCTTTTTTTTTAAACCAGGTTTCAGTTAGAAATTGCATCTTGACAAGCTTAAATTTGGTAAGTTGGTTTGATTCTAGGTATCTTTCATAGACAGGGTTAGGAGATTTCATTTAACTTTGAAGGAAATTAATCAATTATGGTAATAACTCAATTGCTTTTCTTCATTTTCTGTTCTTTTGTTATTTTTTGTTAGTGTATTGAATCTTTTCGCTTTGCAACTGTTTCTAAGGTTTTTAGTCTTTTTTTTAATTACTGCAGTTGTACCTTTAAATGGCTCTGTTGAAAAGTAAGTTGTAAATGCAGATAATTACAGAATTTATGTACGGAGTGCATGAGAAGGGGGAGAGGAGAGCACTCACTTCACAGAGGAGGTGACATTTGAATTGGGGTCAAGTTGAAGAATGGAGAAACCTAAACACAAACCTAGGCATACATTGTGATGAGCAGAAGAAAAGGTAAGTTTGGAAAGCACAGGTCAGATCTTGAAGGCATTATATTCATTCTCAGGATTTTGGACTCTGTTTGTGAGATTTAAACAAGGGGAGTGGTTTTATCAGATTTGTATTCTGGAAAGATTATTCTCTCTGGCTGCAGTATGGGATCACCAGGCCAAACTTCTCTCTTGTAATAGTAAAACTATGGGAATGTATTAAAATGCTGAAAATGAAAAGGGAAAGAGACTAAGTTGATTGAGCTCACTGAAGAGCATTATTATTTCAGGAGTTTGAGAGAAAGGAGCCATGAAGCTTAAAAGACAAACAAAACAAGTAGGGAAACAAGGGGAGAGTGGGAATTATAGAAGCCAAGAGAGAAATGGTTTATAGTGTCAAATGCTGCAGAAAGGTCAGGTGAAAAACAAGATTTAAAAACATTAGTGGATAAACTCAGAGCAGTTTCTGGAGACTAATGGGATGAAAGCCAGATTCCATTTGATTGAAGAGAAAGAAAGATATTGAGAGACTAATTTTCTTTCAAGAAACTTGGCTGTAAAGAGAAGAGATCAGAAAACCAAAGATTACTGGAAAAGTTTTGCTGCAGAAAAGTTAAGATTTTTAATTGTAACACTTATTAATACTTACTTAGTTTCTCAAATGGTGGTGATTCCCATTCTTGGAATTGATCATCAGGGGACTTTAAAAATCTTTTGCTGGCTGCTTGTCCTGTGAGTAGTGAAAAAAGAACTACATTTAGGGAATTGTAATATTATATCCTGGCCAGTTCAAAATGATCTATGAATGATTAATTGTATTAAAACCACAGAAGGTATTTGTCTTTTCTCTTAATTTCTAGGCTGGAAAAATGAGTTGTAACAATTCTCATGTATGAATTGTTTGGAATAAAAATTATAGTTTGAAACTTTGTAGGCATTTCCCAGGAAGACATTCTCTTCTATCACTGTTAGAGAAAGATGTGAAAATAATTGGTTCAGATATCCTTGTCTTTAGGGAAAAATTAGTTTACAAAATGTATTTTGGGTGCTATTAAAATGCTGTTTAATTTTATAACTGCCATAATTATTTTAGTTGTGCATATGTTGGATTTTAGTATAT